GTGGGTAGGGGAGCGGGTCCGGGGAGAGCCGGGCATGGAGCAGCCTCAGGGATGTGGGTAGGGGAGCGGGTCCGGGGAGAGCCGGGCATGGAGCAGCCTCGGGGATGTGGGTGGGGGAGCGGGTCCGGGGAGAGCTGGCACGGAGCAGGCATCTCTCCTCCCATCCCATCTCCCTTAAGCCCAGCCCTTGCTCCTCCCCAGGCTCGGGGCTTTGCCCCAGACATGTTCTTCTGCCTCCAGCTGCTGGAGGAGACGGGCATCTGCGTGGTGCCAGGGAGCGGCTTTGGGCAGCGAGAGGGCACCTATCACTTCAGGTAAGGGCCCCCTGGCCCCGCCCCACCCCGGGGCCCCTGGGAAGGGCTGGCAATGCGGAGCTGGGAGAGACCCGGCCGTCTGACCCCCCTCCCCCCGAATCCTGACACCCACCCCTTCTGCCCAGCTCCCACAGCTCCTCACACCCCCAGCCCCCCCTGCCCCTCAATCCCAACCCACAGCCCTGCCCCCTCGGGAGGTCTCTGACTCCCGCGTTCTCTTGTGCCCGCTTGAGCCCAGCTGTGCAGGGTGTGTGTGGGGGGTTAACCCCATGGGCCCCTGGCTCCCGGGAGGGGGCGGGGGCTGGCAGGCTGGGCTCAGCCAGGCGCCCGGACTGAGGGATCTCTCTGCCCGCAGAATGACCATCCTGCCGCACGTGGAGAAGCTCCAGACCCTGCTGAAGAAGCTCAGCCAGTTCTATGCCAAGTTCACCCAGGAATATTCCTAATGTGCTGCCCGGGGCAGCTGCCAGCTCTGCCCTGCCTGTCCGTCCAGCGCTCGCCGGGGGCCGGGGCCGCGTGTCGCTCTGCAGTGGGACTGGCAGGTGTCCATGCCCCCACACTGGGATCCACCTGTGCCAGCCCAGCTGCCCCGCTCGCCGAGTGCTCCTGAGGGGTGCCAGGCACTCTGGGGCTGTGCCATGTCCCTGACACTCCATCCCCCCCGGCCTTTGGGGGTGGGGCAGCTCGGGCATGGGACGCACCAGCACCGGGCAGCCGTGTGCCAGCGAGCTCGCAGCCCCTGCCCCCCGTGGCCCAGTTGACTGAACTCCACTAGCCCCGTGCAGCCTGCTGGGCACCACTGGATGAGGTGCCCTGGCATCTGGGCAGGCCCTGGCATCGCCAGTCAGTGGGACCTGCGGGTGGGCTCCAGCAGCACCCTGTGTGCCACTCATGGTCCCTCTCACGCACGTCCCCCGGGCCAGGGCACGGGGCACCACGCTCTGTCTGCCAGACCCTGCCCAGGCTGTATCACCAGCCCTGTCTGGGCCAGCACAGCCCCTGCCCCCCCACTGATGCCAAGCTCCAGGTGCCCACCAGCTCCTCGCCACCCACATGGTGCCTTGAGCCATCTGTCCTGAAGTGCCTTGTTCCCCCTCCTCCTCTGCTGGCCCCCGTGCCCTGCAAGGGGGCAGCCCAGCGGCTCTGTCTGCCCCATAGGCCAGGCCAGCAGGGCTCGCTGCGCCACCCTCTTCCCCGGGGCTACAGCGGGTCAGACAGAGCCCCCCAGAGACCCAGGCTGGGCACACGGTGCCTGCCAGGTGGAGAGCTGCCCGCTAGTGGCATGGACAGCTGCAGCCCATGGAGGGACATGCCCAGCCCAGGAGGGTCTAAGTGTCACTGATTGAGCCTGTGGGGCTTTGTTCTGCCCCCCCCGCCAGCTCGTCCCCAGGGCCCCCCTGCACCTGGGTCCTGGGCAGAGACATGGCCGGGGGCGGGGCATGAGGCTGGGTGATGGCCAGCTGGAGACGGGGCTTCACGGGGTCCTGGCCTGGACCCCCCAGAGCAGCAATAAACAGTTAATGACTGAACAAAGGTCGCTGCGCTGTGTGTGTGTGTGGGGGGGGCATTGCTCTCGAGGGGGAGCACACTGGGGCACACGGCTACCCCAGTCCCTGCCAGTGTGGGGCACCGCGGGAGTGAGCGCCACCTGCTGGCCACGCTGCTGCTGCCCTAGCACCTGCCAGGCACCGTCAGGCAGATGGCGGCGGTGGGGCTCTGCCCCAGTCTTGCCGCCCCATAGTGGGTCTCTGCAGCCCGCTCGTGGCTGAAGGATGAAGAGCTACAGCCCTACTAAGCAGGAGCCTGCCCCACATGCTGCCCCAGCCCTTGCCAGGCCCTAGGGGCTGCTGTGTCTGGGCGTGGGGCTGGCCGGGGTGGGCACGGCGACGCTGGGGAGCTCGCTACTTTCCACCCCAGTTTTGTGCCCACCCAGCCCTGCTCGGGGAGTAAAGCCTCCGAGTGAGGCTGCTGGCGACCTGCGGGCCTGTCTGGCTGACCCACCTCTCTCTGCGGGGCTAAGGCATCACAGAGCTAGCCCGGGGACGGGGCGGGGGGGCGATCACAGTCCAGGTGCTCCCCAGCCAGGAGAGGAATTCACCTGGCACAAAACGGGCACAGCTGGCACCAAGGCCCAGCAGAGGCCAAGGTCCATGGCTACCTGGCTCCCCTGGGGTGAATGCCTGCCCCAGATGGGCACGCTAACTCCTTCCAGACACCAGGGCCACCAAGCTTTGTGCTGGCAGGAGCCTGGCCGGGGCAGAGGCATCTGGTGTCCGAGGAGCAGGCTTGGTCCCTTCGGCAGGAACGTGCCCCTTGGCCAGACGCAGCAGGGCACCAGCGGGGATTGAACCCACGACACGCAGCACCAAACCACTGGCGGCGGCACCTCCAGCCCTTGGCTGAGTGACTAGCCGGCTGTGCTGGGGCCGGCCACTAGAGGGAGCCATGATCACACACCTGATCCCAGGCATTAGCCAAGTCACATACGGCGCCTCCGCTGCCCGTGGGCCCCAGCGGAGCCGAGCCGGGTCAGAGCCGCACTGGCCAAGCCTGGCCCGGCCCCACCAGAACCGGCGAGGGGCCACGCACCATTCGCTAGTGCCTGGGACACGCAGTCCCAGGGGAGGGCTGGTCACAGCCGCGGGGCAGGCAGGCGCTGGCCCGGCCCTTGCCGAGGGGGAAGCAGACCCACGGGAGGGCATTGCAAAGCCCTCTGCGCAGAGCACAGCCCGGGGGCAAGGACTCAGCGCCCCTTAGAGCTGTAACGCCCCGAGTGTCCCCAAGGGGGCAGCGTCTTCCCCTTGGTCTAAACAAGCATCAGGGATGCTGCGGGGGCCCTGGCCAGGAAGGATGCTCAGGCCAGTTGCAGGGGGCAGCTGGAGCGCCGAGCCTGGGGCCCCTGCCCTGTGCAGTGCTCTGGGGGAGGCAGGCACGGTTCCGAGCCCCAGGGGCCGCAGACTCGGAGCTCCCGCCAGCCCTCTTGGGCTGCCACCCCCGGCTGCCTCTCGGCAACGTGCGGAGACACAAGCGGCCGTCCGAGGGGCTCAGAATTCCCTGCCCTGGGCAGCGCTGATGGCAAACCCAGCAGTGCCGGAGCTGAGGGCATCTCTCTGGCTCATTAACGAGTAACCCAAAGGGCCACCTTTGGACTCTGGTCAGGGAAGGGGAGTTGGACCTTCGAGCCCTGGGCCACCCCCCCAGGCGGGGCTTTCGTCAGCCCTGCAGCGACCTAGGCACCTTCCCCCCAGCCGCAGCTCAGGCATTCCCAGCCCCTCTGTGCGCCGGAGCCCAGCGGGGGGATGGCGGCGGGGAGGAAGGTCCTGACCCTGGACTCCGTGAATCCATGTGTCAAAGGCGCCAGGCTCCCCACGCTGGGGCCCCTGCTGGAGAGGGCCTCGGAAATCCAGCGCCAGCTGGCGCAGGTGAGGGGGATTCTGGGAAAGCGTTCGGGGTATTCCTGGGGCTGCCGGGGCTCAGGGCATGGGGCAGTGTCCTGGGTCCCGGCTGCGGGCGCTGGCAGGGCGGGTCTCTGCTGAACAGTGGCTCCAGCACCGGCCTCCTGGACTGCCTGTTTGCTGCCTGCAGGGCCAGCCAGAGGGCAGCCTGTGGAACTGCCAGCGCCACTGCCCCTGGGCATCGAGCGTCCCGCAGCCCAGCCCTGCCCTGATGGGCTTTGGCAACCGGTTCTGTCAGTCACACCTGGGCAGGGCTAGCCCCCGGCTCCTGCTCTGTCACTGGGCCGGCCTTGCGGGGCTCATGGGGCCAGTCCCTGGCTCCCTGCCCTGTCACTGGGCCGGCCCTGCGGGGCTCATGGGGCCAGTCCCTGGCTCCCTGCCCTGTCGCCGGGCCGGCCCTGCAGGGCTCATGGGGTTGGCCCCCGGCTCCCTGCCCTGAGCCAGTCACACCTCCTCACATCCCCCCGTGGTGGGGTGCACCAGCCTGGCTGGCAGAAAGGGGCCGCAGGGCGAGGGTGAATGTGGGCCAGCCAACCTGTGCCAGAGTTGCCCACAGGGAGAAATGCAGCCTGTGCTGGGGAGCCCGTGCCCAGGGGAAGGGAGGGAGGGGCCAGCTCTGTTAATGATGGCTCAGAGCCCCCCCTTGGTGGGGGCATTTTGCTCTCTGCCCCAGGGAGAGGAGAAGCCCTTCCGGGAGGTTATCTGGTGCCACTCGGGGGACCCCCACGCTGCAGGCCAAAGACCCATCACCTTCCTACGCCAGGTGAGGAGCAAGGATCCCCCCTGCAGCCCCTGGGGAGAGCAGAGACCAGCAGGACCCTCTGGGATGCCCCCCCACGTCCCCTCCTGCCGCACCCTGTGTGGGAGGGAGCAGCCAGTGGGAAAGCCCCAGCCGGGTTCCCCCCGCCCAGCTGCAATGCAGACAGCAGCCTCCTGCCCATCCCTGCCCCCGGTGCCATGCGGTGACCCCAGCAGCCCTCGGACCTGGGCCCCGGGGAGCTGCACAAACCCAGCGACCAGCAGCCCCTGCCCTGGGGAGACCAGCTGAAACAGCAAGACATGCAAAGGGCAAGAGGGGAAACTGAGGCCCACAGTCACCCAGCTGCAGAGCTCAGGGTCACCCTGCGCATGAGCTACCCCTACCTGTATGAGCTACCACCCATGTCATTGAGTGTCTTTATGAGTCCCCTCCATGAGCACCCCACAGCACACACGTCCCCCTCTCTATGCCCCTGGCCTTCCTCTGCCAGCTTCCATGTGAGGATCCCAACGCACGGGACAAGCCCTGGGGGGAAAGTCATCCCCGTGCGGAGACCCAGCCCCGTGTAAGTCCTAAGTCTGCCCTCAGACTCGGGCTTGAGTGGTGGCCTTGTGCCAATCCCTCTCCCCCCCACTGCACTAGGCCTGGCAGGAAGGGGGAGTGAGCCCAGAGCCACTTGAGTCACATGGGGGGGCGGGCAGGAGACTCAAGCCCAGATCTCGTGACTCCCAGCCCTGGGCCCGACCCCCCATCCTCTGCCTGACCCCAATGCCACACCTTGTGCCTGTTCCTGTCTGCGAGACCAGAGAGGCCAGGAGAGCCCCCTGGCTGTCTCCACGGCCATCGGGGTTTACCCCTTAGTGGCTAATTGGGTCCTCGTTCATTGTATAGCCGACAGCAACCCCACTCGGGCAGCGGTTCAGGGGCTGGGTTTGAGCAGTCAAGGGCCAGTACTAGAGGCATCCTCATAGCCCAGAGGTGGGCAAACTACGTCCGGCGGGCCACATCCAGCCCGCAGGACCCTCCTGCCCGGCCCCTGAGCTCCTGCCCCGAGAGGCTCGCCCCCGGTCCCTCCCCCGCAGCCTCAGCTTGCCCCACCGCCAGCGCAATGCTCTGGGTGACGGGGCTGTGAGCTCCTGGGGCAGCGCAGCTGCAGAGTCGGGGCCTGACCCGGTGCTCTGTGCTGCACGGTGGCGGGGCTGGCTCCAGCCGGGCGGCGTGGCTGCCTGTCCTGATGCTCTGGGCAGTGCGGCTGTAGCGCCGCCAGCCACTGGTGCTCCAGGCAGTGTGGTAAGGGGGTAGGGAGCGGGAGAGTTGGATAGAGGGCAGGGGAGTTCAGGGTGGTGGTCAGGGGGCGGGGGTGTGGATAGGGGTCGGGGCAGTCAGGGGACAGGGAGAAGGGGCGATTGGATGGGGCAGGGGTCCCGGGGGGCAGTCAGGAAGGAAGGGGGGTTGGATGGGGTGGCAGGGGGCAGTCAGGGTCAGGGAGAAGAGGTGGTTGGATGGGGAAGTCAGGAAGGAGAGGAGGGGTTGGAAGGGGCGGGGTGTCCAGGGGCGGACAGGGGAGGGGTGGGGGGGGTTGGATGGGACAGGAGTCCCGGGGGGTCTGTCAGGGTGTGAGACGCGGGGGGGTCGGATAGGGGGCGGGGGCCCGGCCACGCCTGGCTGTTTGGGGAGGCACAGCCTTCCCTAACCGGCCCTCCATACAATTTTGGAAACCTGATGCGGCCCTCAGGCCTAAAAGTTTCCCCGCCCCTGTCATAGCCTGAGCAAACCGTCCCTTGGACTCCCTACTCTGGCCACTGGGCGGCGCTCACGCGCCACAGGGCAAGGGGCTGTGTGGCTTTACAGCCGGCGCTGCGCTGCGGGTGCTCTGGGCAGGAGTTGGGATGGCTAGTGATCTCGACTGGGGCAAAGCCATGGGGCCAATCTGGCCAGCCGCTGCCCTGCGCCTAGCGGGATACTAGCCGAAGGTCACCCCCATCCAGCCGTGCACGGAGCCCCTCGGCAGGGCACGCTCCCCTGCTGTGCTGTCCTCGGAGCAGGGAGGGCGCAAGGTCAGCTGTCCTGGAGCTGGCCGCAGCTTGGGCATCCCCTGCCGCCCTACAACAGGCCAGGCGCTGCGGCTCGCTCCCCCGTGGGGGGCCAGGGATTGATGCACACCAGCCAGGGTTTGCAGCGACCCCCCCGAACAGAGCAGGATGTATTAGCCACGGGGCCCCCGGGCTCGGAAGTCCTTAGGTCAGCAGCGAGCCGGTGAAGGGCTCCACCTCACCAAGCTGCTGTCACTCCGGTTCGGCACCGTCTCTGTCTGTCCGTCCCTGGGGGGAGCCGCTGCGGCTCTTGCTCCCCAGTTCGAGGCCCTGGCTCTGCGGTCCTGCAGCCAGGTGGGGGAATCGCCTCCCTCCTGGCCCAGGCCCCCATTGGCTTTCCCGGACCGGCGCTGGCGGGAGCTGGTCCTAGCCAGGCCCGAATGACCCACTGGTACCAGCCCAGACGCTTACCTCACGTGACCCCCCCACCCAGGAGCTTTGCCCAGGACCATTTTAACCCTTAGCCACTGGGGAGCAAATCCCTGTCGCGTGCAGCCCTGCCCTGCTTCAGTCCTACAGATCCGAGAGACCATTCCCAGCCCTCCCCACGTAATGCTCTGCCATGGCAGGGGCTTCCCAGCCCCCAGCTGGGGGTGCCCGGATAACCTCACCATGGGGGAGGGGAGGGAATGGGGCACCTTTCGGGGCGGGGGGTAGCAGGGAGCTGGGTCCGGTCTAAGGGTTGAATGTCCCACCCTCCCTTGCTGGCTGATCCGCCCCTGAGTGCAGGGGGCAGCTGCTTGGGAGGGCTGGGGGCTGAATGCAGGGAAAGGGGTGTTTTCCAAAGGGCACTCAGCTGGGGTTGGCTATTGGGGCACTGGGCTGTCAATCACCTTCACTCTGTTCCACCCCGTGCGCTGTCTGTCTCTGGGCTACGCCGTTATAGGTGGCTGCCATCTGCGCTTACCCAGAGCTGCTGCATGCCGACTCCATGCCACGGGACGCCAAGCAGCGAGCCAGCCGCATCCTGCAGGAGCTGAACAGCTCCAGTGCCGGTACCTGAGCACCGCAGCCTCCATCGGGATAGACCTCGCCCTGGGAGCTGGGTCTCCGGGCCCAGCCGCTCCCTGGAGTCGCGGCTGAAACCTTCAGAGAGAGGGGCCATTAGTGCCAGCTGTGGGGTGGGGGAGGCAGTGGACTGGGCCCTGTCTGTGTTCCCCACTGGCCCATGACTGGGGGGCCTTCCCCATGGCTGATCCAGTGAATTTTGCCTGTGGCGGTGGTGGGGGCTGCGTGGCACAGAGTGGGGGGGCTCTGCCAGGACTGACTGGCTGACTGCCCCTGGTTCTGGGGGCAGAAGGAGAGGGAGGGTCCTTGCTCTTTGCAGTTAAGCGGCAGAGTCTGTCCCTGACGCTGGGCTGGGTCCTTCTCCCAAGGGGCGTATAACATGGAGTACGTCACCACCGCTGTCCCCCAGAGGGTGGCCCGCTACCTAGAGAGGAGAGACGGGGGCATCCGCTGTGACCCCAGGAACATCGTCACGTGCGGGGGCATCACCACGGCCATAGTGGTGAGTCCAGCGTGAACCAGATCCAGCTTGGGGGAGCGGGGACTTGGACCAGCCAGCCCCACCGGCCGGGCAGCCTCCCCAGCCCCTGTGCCCACTGATGCTGGTCCAGGTATCATTAACCCTTAGCTTGCCAGCCCTTGTCCTCCCTCGCCCCAGCGGTGTCGCGTGAGCCCGGAGCAGCCTGTGCTCTCTCTTCCTCCTCCAGGACTTCCTCTCCCTGGTGGTCAATGAGCAGGACCCCAGGAGGGCGGGCGTGCTGCTGCCGGTGCCCGGGCACCCTCTCTTTGCGGATGCCGTAGCACTGGCCGGTGCCGTCGGGGTGCAGTACCATCTGGACGAGGAGGGCGACTGGGCCCTGGACGTTGGGGAGATCAGGCGGGTGCTCAGCCAAGCCAGGGGACACTGCACCCCCAAAGTGCTCTGCGTCATCAACCCCGGATACCCGACGGGTGAGTCGGAGCGAGCGGCCCCCTGCCCAACCCTGTCCTCATCAGCTCTCCTCCCGCGTGCCCCGAGATGTTTGGGGAGCAGGCGGCTGACCCTGCCGTGGGCCCCGCAGGGAACGCACCCGTGGGGATCTGCTGGGCTCTTCCCGTAACCGCTGCACCATGGCACCCAGACGCCAGGGCCCTGGCTCACCCAGCACTGCCCCGCCCAGGAGAAGAGCCCAGTGGGGTCAGGGCTAGGAGCACGGGGCAGGAGATCACAGCCGGGGACGTGCCCAGGGCAGTCAATGCACAGACGCTCTCTGGGGCAGGACAGAACTAGGAGAACAGGACACAGCTGCTGCCTCCGACACAGGCCCTTGGCACAGAGGAGACCCCGTTCCCCGGCCTGCCTTGCCCAGGTGACGTATCAGCCAGAAGACAGAGGGGCAAGAAATGGTTGTAAAAGCTTTGTGGGGCAGGGGAGGGAGACTCAGCACCCAGCTGGCTGGCAGGAGGACCGGGGGGCAGGGGCCCTGGCTGGCAGGGGGAACTGGGTGGCAGGGCCCCAGCTGGCAGCTGAGAGGCAGAAGGGGTTCTCAGCAGGTGGCGTTGGCTGGAATAATCGGGACGGGAGCGGCCAGGCCAGGCTGGCAGGATGGCTCCACACCTGACTCCGTTTCGGCCTTGGCAGACCGGGCGACCCCACCCTCTGCCAGGGGGCTCCTGGATCTCGGCCTCCTCCCGGGTCACTGTGTGACGAGGCCAGGATCAAAGGGACCCGGAGGCCCCTCACCCCCTCTGCTTGTGCCCGCAGGCCACGTGTTGAGCAGGAGGCACATCCAGGATGTTCTTCAGCTGGCTGCCCGGGAGAGGCTGCTCCTGCTGGCGGATGAGGTGGGTGCCCGGCCGGCCCTGGGATCCGGTATCCTTGGGGAGGGAACGCAGCACCGGGTGGGGGTGGGGAGTTGGGAGAGCAGCCCTTAGCCACTGGCTGCATGTGGGGGGGTCCAACAGGAGGAGCTGGTGTTCAGCTCCCTGCCCTGCCCTCCATCCCCAGGAGGCAGCCTGACCCCTCTCCGTTGTTACCCGCACACTCCAGGGCACCCACCCGTTCCCAGCTCCTAGGGCCAGAGCCGTCCCTTGGGTAGGGCAAATCAGGGCAACCGCTCCGGGCGCTTTGCTTTGCGGGGCCCCACAGGCCGGTGTGATTGGCCGGTGCCGTCGGTCCCGGAAGAGACGAATCCGTCACTTCCGTCCCGGACCCCGCACCCCGCTAGGGATGGCCCTGCCTAGGGCTCAGGGCGTACTCTTCTGTGGGTTTTCAGGATCTTTTCCCAGTGAAAGAGCCTTACACAGTAATAGCCTTAACCTCTGTTTATTAACAATCACCCAGACAGAATGCACACGTTAAGCACACAGTGCTCACCACTCCCAATGAGACAGATGAACTTTTGCTGCTGGCCAGTCTGGATCAGGTCACCCGGGGACTCCAGTTTCTGCCCGGCGTGATTGGCTTGGGGTTGTGTCCTGGAGTTGGTTCTAAAGAACTTCCTTTTGGACCCCAGTTTATATAGTGAAACCAGAGTCCTGCTTAGGTACACCTTAACCAATCATTTAACTAAAATATTACAAAATAATTCTTTGACCAATCGTAGCCCATTACGAAACAGCTCTTTAACCAATCATACCCCACCATATTAGTTGATTTACACCTTGCAAAATTAGTTATACAACTGACAAGAGAATCAAAGAACCAGACAGATACCATACAGATAAACACTAGAGAAGTGGGGCCCATAAAACCAAAAAAATAAAGAAGTATAGATTTCACACCCACAGCTGTTGAGGAGAGTGAGTCCTTGCCAGACAGAATGCTGTCAAACAAAGTTTTCTTTTAACATCAACTTAAGAGATTCCTTGCTTATCTGGTGGCGGTGGGTACTGTTAGGAGGGGCACTTTCTGAACAGCCTGATATCATAGAATCATAGAATATCAGGGTTGGAAGGGATCTCAGGAGGTCATCTAGTCCCACCCCCTGCTCAAAGCAGGACCAACCCCAACTAAATCATCCCAGCCAGGGCTTTGTCAAGCCTGACCTTAAAAACCTCTAAGGATGGAGATTCCACCACCTCCCTAGGTAACCCATTCCAGTGCTTCACCACCCTCCTAGTGAAATAGTGTTTCCTAATATCCAACCTAAACCTCCCCCATTGCAACTTGAGACCATTGCTCCTTGTTCTGTCATCTGCCACCACTGAGAACAGCCAAGCTCCATCCTCTTTGGAACCCCCCTTCAGGTAGTTAGAAGCAGCTATCAAATCACCCCTCATTCTTCTCTTCTGCAGACTAAATAACCCCAGTTCCCTCAGCCTCCCCTTCACAAGTCATGTGCGCCAGCCCCCTAATCATGTTCGTTGCCCTCCGCTGGACTCTCTCCAATTTGCCCACACTATGGTAGGCCATTGTTTTGATATGGTTTAGATGGAATGCGGGAATGTGACTTTCTGCTTCTTGGCTCATGGCTGCTGCTGTCCTAACATGGCTGCAGACAAAGGCGTCAGACCTGACACCATCCTTGGTGGGCAGCACGCTGGGCTCCTCCCCCCTCCCCTCAGGCGTCAGCCTGATCCTCCTCTCTGTCCCGGCAGGTTCACCAGGACTGTGTGTTCACCCCGGACTCCCCCTTCCTCTCCTTTAAGCGGGTTCTGTGTGAGCTGGGCCCCGCAGTCTCCAGCGCGGTGCAGCTAATCTCCTTCTACTCCGTCTCCAAGGGCTTCGCCGCAGAGTGAGTGCACCCCCTGCTGCCAGACCTGGAAATGCCCCTTCTCCCCCTGTGGATGCTCCAGATGGTGGGTCCTTCCTGACCCCACTCTGAGATTATGGGGTTCATGTGCCCCTTCACCCCGGTGCCACCCCCAGGGTTACAAGGGTATGGGCAGTTCCTGCCCCAGCACATACAAAATCATTGGCCTTTCTTTGGCATATGGACTGCGATGCCAGCTGGGTGGGCAGGTCGGTGACGCCAGTGAGGGAGTAGGCTCCCCCGTCATTGTCAGCTCAGGGACACAGATTGCAAAACCAGTCAGGGACAGGTGCCATCTGGGGCAGAGCCCGTGATGCAGTTGTAATTGTTCTGGCTGTCAGTGCTGGCGTGCCCCAGACCTCTAGGGTGCCAGGTGTACCGCGACTCAGAGGCAAACACCGTAATCTCAGGGTCGTGGGTTCAAACCCCACGTTGGGCATTTGATCTTGATTTAGTTGGGGATTGGTCCTGCTTTGAGCAGGGGATTGGACTAGATACCTCCTGAGGTCCCTTCCAACCCTGATATTCTATGATTCGTGTAGGTGCCAGCCCTGGGGGGGTCCCAAGAACACTCAGCCACATGGGGTGGGGAGTTGCAGATACCCTAGGTACAGAGGCTTGAACAGTAATGTAGTAAGAGGAGGCCCTGAGATATAAACCCTTATCAGAGGCCCAATATGAGGCCTGAGGCCTGAACTAAAGTAATGGTCAAGACTTTGCTAACATAAAGCAGAGTTAAGCTGAGAGCCAGAGGCAGGCCCTGCTCACAGAAGCTGGCAGGAAAAGGGCTGATGTTGCATAAATATATATTCACCTAGCAAAGTTAAAGTATAAACATGGTACCAAAACACACTATACTGGAACATTCCACAGATAACATGGAACAGG